ACTACGACTACGACTACTACTACGAGGAGCCTTTTCGGGGTGTAAAAAAAGCCTCGCGGATACCCTATCATAATCATCTTCATCACCATCATCACCATCACCATCATCACCATTACCATCACCATCACCATCGCCATCATCACCATTACCATCACCATCACCATCGCCATCATCATCAGCATCACCGTCATCGGCACTCGCGCAACCAACCTCACAACCCTGTCCACCCTAACGACATGGACCACCCTCATCACTGCCATCATCATCTGCACCATCAGCATCAATACCGCAATCCTCACGATCACTCTCGGTACTGATACTGATACTAATGGCCGAAGCACAAGAGCGTAGTAGTCTTCAGACATGGGGTTTGGTTTTACCAGTTGCAGGCCTCGAGCGCGACGGGCCAGAGACCTGGTCATTGTTGTCATCAGAGCGCTATGGGCTGCCTGAAGAGCAGGAATCGGCTTGCAGCTTGCAGAATCACCGTTATAGTTGTGGCAGCACACTGCCTCCGGCAATATCGGTAGACGGGCTGAGCAGGAGCAGGAGGAGCAGCAGCAGCAGCAGCAGCAGCAGCAGCAGCAGCAGCAGCAGCAGCAGTAGCAGTAGGAGTAGTGGTGGCAGTGTGCTGGTGGTAGTGGTGGTGGTGGGGGTGGTGGTGGTGGTGGTGGTCGTCGTCGTGGCCGTCGTTGTCGCGGTTCGCAGGAGCAACATAGAGCAGCCATGTACTGACCATGCACTGCATGTGATGCTTTTGGCCCAGCGACATTTCCCACCGCCGACTCGCTCACAAACGCAGACTCCTCGCAGCTTAAGACGCCTGGCCGGAGTTACCAGAGAGCCCGATAACCCTAAAGTAAGAATCTCCTAAGTGTATATGATCTGTATATGGTGGGCATAGGGCTTCTTATGAAAAATGCTTCAATGAGGGGGCATTGGGCTCTCGGCTTGTGGTGCTCATGGGACAGGAGTTTGTAGAGTACACAAATAAGTTGATATAGCCAGATTTGGGGTGCAGAGGCGGTCAGAGTACGGAGTTCCATTTTCTGTAGAGTTCTTTCAGGATTGTATTGGGTTCGTGGCGGTGTAGGCTTCTGGGTTTAGGTTGGCTGTCGTTGTGCACTACCTTGTGGTTCAGGGTTGTGGCTGATTTTCGGTGCAAGTTTTCTGGCCTGTGTAAGTTTTGCGGCCTTGAGACGAATACGCAGGCCGAAAAATGCCCAAAGAAATGATCCCTGTAAAGGAACCTTGCTGTAACTGAACGCGCGTTCTTGCTGGAGGGCAAAAGCTGAAGAACCTGCGCGAGGTCAATCGGCAGAACCAGGCCAACAGCCGGGCGCGCATTGTGCGACTATCGTTCTTGGACGATGTGGCCGGGCGTCGAAACACCCCCTGTACGCTCGGATTGCAGTGTGCCCGAAGTCGATGCTGTCAAGGACAAATTTGCGGCCCCCCACGCCCGGGCGCTCGTGTCGTAGCCAAGTCATGAGTTTCGCGTCAGCTATTTTCGCGATCCTTTCCCCTAATTACCTCCCGCAACCTCCACCCTAGACACGAATCACTGGTTCATTTCTTTGGGCATAGAGTCATAAAGTCATAGAGGTTTGAACCACCAGGCCCGATCACGAGGTCTTATCATCAGTTGGATGACATGATAACCAGCAGATGTAGATAGGTGACACCTACAAAGCCGTATTCCAAAACCCTTACAAAACTCCCGAAATGCCCTTCCACAACCCGTACGGAAGGCCCTAAAAAATGCTTGAATCCTCAATTGACGCGCCAGTCTCGGATCTGCAACATTTTGCCACCTCCAGAATGACCACATAAATGTGGGTGTTTAGATGCTCAAGTCTCGCTTCTCAGACTTAAACTTGAGACCCTGCCGCACGCCCCAAGCCTTAAACTTCTACCCAACTCCTGGATAAACCCCTGAAGCCTACAAGAAAATTCTAAACCCTGCAACTTTCAACCGAATACATGGAGGTTCATGGGTAGATATAAGTGGAGGTATAAGTGGGCTATCAATACTTATAACGCATATTAGGGGACTTATAACCCTATACCCATGAACCTCCAAGTAAGGATGGCTCGATCCCTGGTGCTGACGGGTGCTGTGCTCCTTTGCAGTGGTCCTGGCCTTAGGTCTGAAAGTGGACGTTTTCATATGGGGATGCTGGGTTCCGGTCATTGTTGGAAGGGTTCCGGGTTTCGGGTTTAGGATTCCATAACTTTTCCCTAAACCCTAAACCCTAAACCCTAAACCCTAAACCCTAAATCCTAAACCGTAATTTATGGGTCGTGTAAGGGGAGAGGTTTAGAGCTTAAGGCTCTTGGGGTTGAACTCTTTACGGTGGGGGTTGTACGGCTTCAGGAGCTCCCTGAAAGAATCGCAAAACATGACGGCCTTGAGTTTCAGAAGGGGATTGTAGGCGCCTGTCCTGGTGAAATTTGGGAAATCCCTTGCAGATGGGAGGGATCCTCATATTGACATGCTCCTTGAGCTTCCACGACCAGGTTTTGGGTACTTACACATATGGGGACCCCCGCAATTTCCGAAACCCCCCATGACGCAAATCGGGATCACTAAGGCCCTCTGCTAATCATGGACCTACATTAGCTTTGAGAAGGGGTTTACGTACTATTGCGACACCACTAACCCTAAACTTAAATCGTGACCGGAACATATGCAGCTTCAGGAAGTAGAACCCTAAACCCTAAACCCTAAACCCTAAACCCTAAACCCGGGCTTACGGGATGCGAATACAATGCAGCCCTAGCTGTCAGGATCCTTGTTGCAATGACGGTACCCCGACTACTAAGAAACCCCTATCTACACCATCATAATTGAAACAGTTTGTGTCCGTCCTCTTAAAATCATTTCGTAAGACTTCCCATACCCATAGAACCGGTCACAAAGTCCCCTAAACCCTATACCCTAAACCCTAAACCCTAAACCCTTAAAATCCCATTCAGATCAGGTGCCCTCTTCACGGCGTTCGTGGCCGCACCGCGCGCTGCACCGGCTCCCTCTCTGCCCCATGCCACCACTGCGGCCCTCAGCTGCTTTGGCTGCACGTTTTTCGGGTTTAGGGTTTAGGGTTTAGGGTTTAGGGATTTAGGCTTTCTGGCTGTCTTATCGTTTGTTGAAACAGAGTCGGTTTGCTGGCGGTTGTTGGATTTCTCTAGGGCCTTTATGGATTTTGTGCGATGTGTGTTTGTCGGGTTGGTTTTGTGAGGTTTTGTAACGGCCTTTAAATTTATTCAGATTTAGAAGGGGGGCTTCTTAGCATCACAGGATGGCGTGTTTCGGGCATCATGGCCAAGAGTATGTGTCTGTTTGTTTTTTTGCTGAAACCCTAAACCCCGTGTAAACGAGGAGCCCCAAGGACTTGGTGGGTTGAGGGGGTTTAGGGTTTAGGGTTTAAGGGCTTCAGGCTTCTGGGTTAAGGGTGGAATTTTCCTACCTGCATCTACCTGCCAAGTTCTCAAGGCTTGTTTGGTGTGACTCTGACGGTCCATGTGCCCAAACAGTATAGTATATACTTTGGCCTGTGGCCTTGGCCCAAAACCCTGCTTCAATGGGAATTGGTTACAAGGTTGATCATCATAAGGTTTTGTAACTGTACTGGAAAATATGCATAGCCACAGCTTGGGTACTGCTAACCTTGATAGCTAAGTCCCAAGATCCTCCATACCCTAAACCCTAAAACCCTAAACCCTAAACCCTGAAAAAAACCCTGAAGCCCTAAAGCCCTATAACCTTACTTGCTAAAGCCCATGATCCTCCTTCTAGAACCCTTATAATATAAGATCCCTTACAAGATCCCTTTAAGGATCCCTTTCAGGAACCCTTATGGATCCCTTTGAGGATCCCTGCCCTGATCCCTTAACCCCTTAACCCCTAAACCCCAA